CTCTCTCTCTCTCCCCCTCTCTCTCTCTCCGATTTTACGGATTAAGAAAACGTTTCTCGAAACGAAGAGAATACTTCTCTCTGACTCAGATTCCTATTTTGAATACCCATCGTTCTAATATCGTTACTACCTGTCCGAAGTCCAAGTGATTCGAGGACGGATTTTGCATTGGCGTTCGAATTCTACTCTTAGAAATATCCGCGAGTGGAGCGACGCGCGCTGCAGCCTGAATCTCTCGGGCTTGCAACTCCGGCCCGGCAGTCCCTTCCACGAATAGACGACAAATCGAGAGAAATTCCGACGATCCCACTCGCACAGCCCGGCCGATTCCGGCTTTATACGGCTTGACCGTAGGCCGCTGCCGCTTCGCCGTCGTGTCACCGTCGCTATAGGCATAGAGAGACGGACGCGCGTCTTATGCGCGGAGCTCGCTCGCTCGCTTGCTCTCCGTGTCTTCTTGGCGTAGCATGAAAATAGCCCAACGTACTTGGAATATCGCGTGGCCTACGCGTTAAGCATGTTAAAACGGCGTTCAACACCGACCAACGGACGTACGTGCGTGCGTGCGTGCGTGCGTGCGTGAGTGCGGAGCGATTACTTAAGGAAGCATGGCAATCGATGTCTGGTTATTGGAAAGTATTTAAAAATTTTCTTTCACTATTCTTTGATACCGATAATTTTATATTTAGATACGATATTCTCATAACGAGTTAATTAAAAAAAAAAAAACACAAGATTCTTTTCTGAATCATTATTAAAGATAAATAAGTACGAGCGGTTTAAATAACTTGGCATAAATGGTAGATTTTTTTCGATTTATAATAATCAAATTATATTTTTATCTAAAATCTATTTAATGAGTAGTAATTTCATTATTTTGATTCTTGTTCTCGCTTTATATACATATGTATACTTATATAACTGCTTATTAAGTATTTAGATAAATTAAGCGGATATGTTTCAAGGGGAAATTCTTACAAAGAAGAATTGTTCGGAGCAGAGGGACGAGAAAAAGCGGAGAGAAAGAGAAGAGCGTATTATCTGCTATTGCAATTCAAAAAAATTGTTCTCCCGCCGTTTACTCGCTCTGCAACTTTGTCGTGCCTATCTCTCTCGAAGTTCACATATACTTGTTTGACCAGAGGTGGTCGACCAGCGATACTGGAGAAATACCGACCAGCAGTTAATTATAACTTGCGAGTTATTTACAGCTTTAATTTGCGTGTTGATTCTTCGCGATCTAACGGGTGTACTCTTTTACGAAATTACTTTTTTTTCGATCAGACTTTTATTAAGTGAGATTTTGTCATCAATCTCGTTAAAAAAAATTTATCGGAAGTCTGTGCGGAAGTACAATGAATCTCTAAAAAATTGTTCACGTAACTATTTTTACTCTCCTCTTCTTCAATTCAGTTATAATACTATTATACAAGATTTGTTACATAAAAACGTTGTTTTTGCACAGAGAATATTTCTCGCGTATCCGTTTAGCAAGTTAAAAATAAAGCGCGGCTACAAGTCTGTAAAGACTAGCCAAGACTATGTTAGACTTTCAAGGATGGAAACGTTAGTCAGCAGTGATAATGTTAAACGATTGCTGTTATTATCTGTATCTCTCTCTCTCTCTTCTTTTTATTGGAAAATTTTACAGCGTGACAAAAACAGCTTTCGAATAAAACACTATAGAATATAGAAGTGTATACATAGCATATGTCATATACATATTACACACCATACATACATGATTGAAGGCCGAAATTACTATCATATACGCGATGCCCATACGCGGTCCAGTTTGTAAAAAAGAAAGAGGAGAGCGAATATATATATAGAGAAGCTAGCAATGCTGACGGAGGACTTGACGTAACGACCGCAGCATCCCTCGTAAATTTTTACAACGCGATCGTAACGCCGTTCACAATGTACGAAACTGGTCAGAAAAGAATCCAATCTTCTCTCTCTCTCTCT